CCCCCCGGAGCCGCCCCCGGGCGCCCGGCTGCTCACCCAGGCCCGGGGCCCACGGTGGGGCCCCGCCCCAGCCCCTGCTTTCGTGAGTCCCCAGGTGGTAAAGATCATCCGGCCGAGTGAGACCGCAGGGAGGTACATCACCTACCGGCTGGTGCAGTAGCGCCCGGCTCCCAGGTGAGGTGTGGCCACGGGGCCCGACGGGACGGGGGGGGGGCTCTCCCTTTTGGGGTGCGGGAAGGGCCCATCCAGGAGTGAGCCCTGTCTTCCCATCCCCCCCCCCAGTCCTCTGTGTCACCTCCTGGAGGTCCGTGGAGGCAGCCCCACTTCCTGCTCGGCTGGTCTCACCTCGCACCACAGACATAACACGCGGTCGCCCTTCCTTCTCTGTCCCGCGCTGCGGCCTGGAGACAGATGAGGCTGTGGCCACCGCCCCCCAGGAACCTCACCGCTGCTGCTCTGGACCCCGGGGCAACCTCACCTGGATGCTGAGCCCCACCCTGGACCCTGCATAAGTGTGTGCCTCCGGAGGCCTGCAGCAGCTGGTGACCCACAGCAGTCCTGGCTCAAGTCTCTGGCCAGCCCCCACCAGTGTGCTGTCACTGGGCCACCCATAGGGTGGCCCTGAGGCTGTCTGAGCACACCCGGGGCAGCAGGGAGCAAGTTGCTATTTGACGCTGGGTGTTTTTAAAAATTAAAAGTATTTGTGTAAATAAAGTGGCGTATCCGGAGAAGCAAAGCAGAATGACGGGTCTGCAGCGAGTGGCCTTGCTCGAGGCTCTAGACCCTGGGTCTGCTCCCCTCCCCCCAGGGTGGCCATGTCCAGGCACGTCCCTGTCCAGAGCCTGTGGTGGGGGTGGGCAGTGTGGGGCACGGCAGTGCTGCTGGGCTCGCTCTCGGCTCTATTCCTGGTGTTTTTCTTGCGTCAAAGTTTGTGGTCAGGTTATCCAGTTTCCCCATGGTGTCTAGTTTCAGAAGGCCTTTCTGGTTTGGGTTAAAAGGCTTGCTTTTTTTTTAACAGCGGCTTTACTGAGACGTAGTTCACATGCCACAGTGTATGCGTTTGCAGCACACCACTCGGTTAAGTACCATGAATTTTAGACCTTGTCATCACCCCAAAAGAAACCCCGTCCCCTCAGCCGTCACCCCCTCTCCGGCCTCTGGGCCCCCACCAGCCCCTTTCCGTCCGCGGATGAGTCTGTTCCGGACGTGTCACCCACATGGACTCACACCCCATGTGGCCTTCTGTGTCTGGCTCCCTCCCTGAGCGTCGTGGGCTCGGGGTCCGTCCCCAGGGCCGCACGTGTGGGCGCCTCGCTCCGGCTCACGGCTGAGGGACGCTCCTGTGCGTGGGGGACACTGTGTTACCTGTCCAGCTGCAGTGACACGCATTCTACTTACCCATTTACCCTCCACGGACACTGGGTTCATCCATTTTTGGCAGTGTTTTGTGAATAATGTTGCCGTGGGCGTTCATGTACACATTTGTCTTGACGTGTGGTTTCATTTTTTTCTGGGTGTGTATGTAGCCGTAGAATTGCTGGGTCGTGCAGGAGTGGGTTACCCGGTGGAGAAACCACCAGGCTGTTTGGTGGCCCGGGTCAGACCCGCAAGGCCTTGTCGGTGCTGGCTGCTGGCTACCCTGTGGGGTGAGGTGTGGCTGTGCATGTGGTTCCTTCTCCCTGATGACTACCCATGTGAGCTGTTCTCTTGGCTTAGAGGTCACGTGCATGTCATCTGTGGAGGAAGGTCTGCGCGGCCCCTTGCGTGCCGTGTAGTTGGGCCGCGCGTGTCCCTGTCGCTCCCGGCACGCAGCCGTGGGTATTGCATGTGTGTCTCTTAGCACATACACACTTGGCAGAGGTGTGTTCTGTGATTTAGATTTCTCAGATATCTGTTCATAAGTTTGGTGTGTTTACACGTGGCCTTAAATTCTGCGATTGACTCCTGGGCCCAGTGTGACACAGGGATGCACTTTGCCCTTGGACAGCCTGCGGTCTTGATACTTTGTAGAACGGCCAGCGGGTCCTCCTGTGCATGCACACGGGTCCTCTCCCGTGGATCCGTCCGCCTGTTAAAAGGCAGAGCTTGTCCCCTCCCCCTCCAAATACACAAGCACTGTTTTCCAAAGTCAGCTTGTCCAAAGTAAGCCAGACCCAGAAGGACACAGCCCGCAGCACCCCACTCCCAGGAGGTGCCCAGAGTAGTCCCGTCCACACAGACAGGAGAGGGTGGGAGCCAGGGCTGGGGCAGGGGGTGGGGACAGAGTCTCCGTGTGGGGAGATGGAACGTTCTGGAGACGGAGGATGGGGGTGGCTGCAGGGCCAAGCGAGTGGGCTTCACTCTGTGGAGCTGTGTGCTTAGAAATGACAAATATTCTGTGTATTTTAACCACAGTAAAAAAAAAAACTTGGTTATTGGTCTTTACACTTCACGGTGGGGTTTTAATCGTTCTTTGTGTTTTTTTTAAATAAATGTGCAAAGCCATGAGAGAACGTGTCTGACTACGGAAGTCGAGCCGTGCAGGGAGTCTCCAGTGCACGACACAGTGACGCGACTCTTCTCGGCATTCACATGGCCCCAGGCCCCTATGACATGCTCTGAGCCTGGGTCAAGCCTGGCCTGAAGCTGGCGCTCCACGAACAGCATTCAGAGCCCTTAGTGACAAGCCTGGCCAGGCTTCGGGGGGTGCTTTCCGTGACACATGCTATTTGATTAACCGCCATAAGTGGAAAGCTGCGGTCAGCCTGAACACTGGATACAGTTAAAGAGTTTTATCTGTTAATTCTTGTGACCCTTTTTGAGATGTATATTGGGTTGGCCAATTTTTTCTTTGAAGGGCCAGAAATCGGTATTTCCAGCTCTGGGCCAGATGGTCCCTGTTGTACTTTGGGCAGCGGTAGCCACAGGCAGGGCATAAACATGTGGGCATGGCCGTGTGCTGTTAGCCAGCGTTGGGCCACTGTTTGCTGGCTCGGTGACCTCCTTTTCCGGATCTTTCTTAGCTGCTGCAGAGCGTTCTGTCTGGCACTGATGCTGCTCACTTGAGCTGCGGGGTGGGCTGCAGGTTTCTGGGGGCCGGCTCCTCCCCCCAGCCGTTTATGTCCTGATGGGTGTGAATTCCATCTGGTTTTTCACAGCAAATGAAAGGTTGGGCCTTCCTGCTGCTGAGCTGACCTTGACCCTCCAAGATCAGCACAGCCGGCGTGAGGGGTCAGTAAGAGGAATTGGGGAGGGTCCTCGGCTGCTGCCAGCTGAGGGTTCGCTGTGCTTCCCCACAAGGTGGCCACAGCTCTGAGGCTGCTCAGTGTAAAGGAGATTTGCACTGCAGGTGCTCGGCCCGGCCGCATTCCAGGGCTTAGTAGCCACATGGGGCTGGTAGCGGCCAGCCCGACAGCCTGAATGGACAGCACTTCTGGAAGGTTCCACCAAGCAGTGCTGGGCCAGAAGCTTCTAGGAAGTGCTTATTTGACGCTGTGTGTGCACGGCCAGCCTTGAAGGTCCCTAACTGGGCTATTTAACTGGAATTTCTCTTCCTGTGAGTTGTCGCCAGCAAGGCACCAAGGAGATGCTAAGTCGACTGAGGCCCCCTCCCACACCGCCAGACAAGATGGGCTCAGATCTAAAACTTTATTTTAAGCAAAATAAATGTGCATTTGAAAATCTACGTCATGACCCAGGACCGACCTCACCGCGTGCCTACACCCCTGGGGCCCGACGCTGCCTCCTGGCCCCTGCCATCTGGCTTCCAGTGTGGCCTCCCTGGTGGCCCAGTGGCCCGTGGGGCGGCTGGCCCCAAGGGCAGGGCCACTCGGGCGTACGTGGCCTCTCCGTCCACACGAGCCCCGGCACGCAGGCGAACACGGGGCAGGCCTCACCCCATGCTCCCAGAAGCTTCTGGAAAGGGCAGCAATGTCCTTGGTGCATTGGGCTTGGAGCGGACCTCGCAGGGCCTGGACATCCACAGGGACTGGACATGCAGTGCCCCAGCTAGACAAACTCTGGCTGCCTCTCCTGGCCTGAGCCTGCTTCGACCCGCCCGCCGCAGAGCCTCATGGCGGGCAGCTGGACCTCGGCCACGTTGTTGCACTGGTTGGCGTTGTACTCGGAAAGCTGCTGGGCCAGGCCCTCCCCGTCCCCGGCCGCGGCCGCGGCTCCCAGCTGCTCCTCACTGCCGCTGCGGCTGCCCTGGCCCTCTTCGGCGCTGGCCTCGCTGCCCGGCTTCTCCAGGAAACTGAGGCGGTGCACAGCACCCCTGTCCGCTGGGGACAGCAGGTCTGAGGCCTCCTCCACCTCGGAGTCAGAGTCATTGGAGGCCACCTGGGATTCTGGGAGGTCAGGAAAGGGGGGGGCGCGGGCGGGGGAGACAGGACAGACAGACATGTCGTGACCAGGAGGGCCCTGGGGCCCACTGCCTGACATGCTGTCACCCTCACTAGGCCCGGCTCCCTACCCCAGGACCGCCCACCCACAGCCAAAGGGGCAGGCTCTGCGCACAGGGCGCACAGGGCCATGCACACGGTACCCCCTCCGGTGTCTACACAACACCTCAGAAAGGCATCTCTTGGCTGGTATTTGCAACGGGTCAGACAAGCTCTCTCTGTGGGAGACAAACCCACAGCCGCGCAGTACCCAGGCACATCGCCCGGCAGCCTGCCTGGCTGTCCCCACCGCTTACCTGGGCCCCCGTCTGCAGCCTCCTCCTGCAGGAGGAAGGCGGCCCCCGCACTCGCCTCTGGGTACGGCACCTGCACCATGGCCTCAGCCCTCTGCACATACGTGCCGTCCTACAGGTGGCAGAACAGGGCTCAGGGATTCCGGCCCATCCCCAGCTCTGTTCTGTGTTGTAAATTGACTAAAAACTGAAAAAGCCTAAAACTTGTTAGCACCCCGTGCAACTGTACATGTGATGACAATCCCGTGTCGCACATGGGCTGCACTTGTCCCACTGGGGCAGCAGGCTGAGGTCCCGCGTGGACACCAGCGTGTCCTGCCGCCCCTGCACACCCACAGGCCCCTGGAGAGGGATGACAGACCCTCCGCGAGCACTGGAGCATGAGAGCGAGGTGCTGGGAGACCAAGCACGCAGAGCTCGTGGAAGTGCGAACCGGTGGCCCAGCAGCCAGGTAAAGTGGCAGGTGGACCCGGCGGGGCAGCACGCAAGCCCAAGCCTGAGGACGTGCTGGAGGCGGCGCAGAGATGGAGCCAGACGGGGCTGGGCTCCAGAGGCAGGTGGAGGAGGTGCGGCCACGGGGCCTTTGCACCAGCAGTGAATCTCTCCCAGAGTTGAGCCCCCCGCGTCGGTTCTTTGCTTAAAAATGCCTCCGAGGCCCCTCCTGACCACCCTGCTGAAACCAGGGCTCTTGGTCCCGGCCCCCCTGCTCAGAGTGGGCAGCCCTGGGCCCCGCCACCACCCTCACCTGGTCCCCAGGCACCTCCTCGGGCTCCTCCTTGAAGATCAGGCCATAGTGGGCAATGAGGGTCTCCACGACGCGGGCCTGGTGGGGGTAGTCGACCAGGGAGGACAGGGACACGGTGGCCTCGGTTGGCTTTGGCCGCAGCAGCGTGGGTCCAAACACAATGCCCAGGTTCCCCGGAGTCATCTTGTTGTCCTGCTCGACCTCCACGATCCTGGGGGTCACGTGGACTCAGGAGCAGGCATGAGCAGACCCCCCCCGGGCCCTGCCCACCCGGGCCCCTACCTGGCTGGCCCTCACCTGGGCCCCTGCCCACCTGGGCCCCTGCCCGGCTGGCCCTCACCTGCGCAGGTGCCGTAGCAAGTACTGCAATGTGGCCCGGTTCTCGGGAGGCAGGGCCTGCAGGAGCTCCCGCAGCCGGCCCGCCATGGCTGTGGCCGCGGCCTCGCTCTCGACCGCATCTGCCCGGCCCCGCGACGCCGCCTTGGCCTCTGCCTCCGCCTTCAGGTTGTCCTTGGCCAGCCCCACGAGCTCGTGGTAGAGGCGGAAGGAGAGGATGGGTTCGGGCAGCTGCAGGGTGACAGGTCGGTGGGGTCTGTGGCCCCGGCCCAGCAGCCCCACCCCTGCCCTGGCTGGTGTGCGTTCAGCCCCGGCCCCCCGCCCCACCTGCCGCAGGTAGAGTTTGAGGACGTTGCTGATGTCGTGGGGTGAGGCCTGTGACAGTTCCACCAGCTCCTTGCCGTTCTCAAACGCCTGGCACAACTTCTCCACGCGCGTCTTCACCCCGTTGACGCGGTAGATGCCCTGTGGGGGCCGCCGTCAGCCTGGGCCCACGCCCACCCCCAGGACGGAGCCCCCACTGCCGCCCCCCGGGGCAGTCACCTTGGTGTGCAGCGCCCGCTGCTCTATCTCGCAGACGCACTTCTTGATGATGAAGGGCACGCCGTCGGTCATGCTCTGGGCCGCCTGGGAGAAGTCCTGGCCGAAGAGCTGCAGGCGGCCCTGGAGTTTCTTGTGGCCACACTGGATGGCCAGTGTCTCCAGACACTTCTTGTGGCAGGCCAGGCAGCACTGTGTGGGCGGGCGGGTGCCGAGCGAGTGAGCCCCCAGCCCCCAGCCCCCGCCACCTCCTCTCTGAAGCCCTCCTGACCCTCCCCTCTCCATGGGTGCCGCACCTCTGCCTGCCACCCGAGCCTGGGTCCTGAGCGCCCGGCCAGCCCCCGCTCCAGGCCTTGGCACCAGTGCTGACCTCTGCCCGCTGTCTCTCCCTCCAGGGCCCTCGGGGTCTCCACATGCTCCCCTGGCTCCCAGCTGAAGGGAGCTTGCTGAGCACGCGTGCCCGGCCGTTGGAGCCCCACTCACCTCCTCACACTCGGCGCCCTGGAAGTAGACATAGCTGTTACACTCCCTGCACTTGGCCGGTGTGCGCAGTTTCCTCAGCCGGTGTGTGCGGGCGGCCTTGGACAACCCCACGTTGCGGAAGGGCCCACTGGGCATGGCCACTGGCAGCTCGGGGGCCATGCCATTGAGGTCAGCTGGGGGGTGGGGCAGGCGGTCAGCCTCAGCAAGGCAGGTCAGGGCCAGGCCCACTGGCCGAGTCCAGAACCCCTCCCTTGGATGTCCCGCTCAGGGGCCCCTCACCCTGCTCGAAGGCTGACGCCCCTGCGCTGCCCTCCTGGTCCACCAGCTCCTCGCTGGACGACATGGTGCCGCTGGACGACATCCGCTCCAACTTCTTCAAGTCCCCTGAGCAGGAGACGGCTGTCAGGCACCAAGCCCACAGGCCCAGACCACGGGTCATCCGGACCCTCCCCAGAGCTGGCTCACAGCGGGTACACCCTCCATGGCCCTGGCCGCACGATGAGTCCGCCCCCCCCCCCAAGCCGCCAGCCACGGGGCTGACGGGTGCCTTCACCTGAGCCAGGGCTGGGGTCCAGGCTGCCGTCCGAGTCTGACATGGTGGTTGGCCACGACTTGTGCACCTGGTGTCCACGCCCACCTGCAGAAGGAGGCATGTCCCATGGGGGCTGAGGGGCCAGGGGAGGCCACGCCCACCCCGCACCCCTGCACCCCCGCCCCGCACTCACCCCTGCGCTCCTTGGCAAGTGCGCCATCGCTGGGCCCACCTTCCTCCTCGGGGCTGCCGGTGGCCTCGACCCCCGTGGCGTCACTGACGAGGCTTCCCTTCCGGGTGCGCATGACCGGGGACCTGGAGGGACAGGGCGGGGGTCACGGAAGCATCGGCATGGCCAGCCCCACGTCGGGGGAGGCCCCGCGCCCCGGGCACGCGCAGGGGGCCGTACCAGGCGTTGGTGGAGACGTGGGGCTCAAAGTCGTAGCGTACGTCGGGCTCCTCGTCCCTCTGCAGCTGGCTTACGTACGACGCGTACTGCCGCCCCGGGTCATACAGTTTGCTGCTTTCGCAAAGCATCTGGAAGTGCACGGGCAGCGAGGCCGTCTGCATGTGCAACATCTGGTAGTAGGAGATGGTGGCCTACAGGCGGGGCGGGCGTGCGCGCGTGAGCCACACCAGACGCAGCTGACCCCGCCCCGCCGGAGCGCGGGGATGCCCGGCACGCACCGACTTGATGGTCTGGTCGCTCTGCCGGATGACCTCCTGGATCTGCCGCAGCACCGTCACCTTGGTGTCCTCCAGTTCCTGCTTCTGCGTCTTGGCGTCGGCCACACACGTCCGGTAGGTGGCCATGGCTTCCTCTGCCTAGACGGGGGCCGGGGGGCACACAGAACCCTCAGCCGGGTGCAGGCCTCGAACGCCGCCAGGCCCGCCGCAGGAGCCCGGGCCGCAGAGAGGGGAGGGAGGCCCACCTGCAGGATGCACCTCTGCCGGGGGTCGGGATCTGCCCTGCACTGCCCCTCCCTGGCCGCGCTCACCTTGTTCTTAGCCTCCTCCTCCAGGCGCCGCCGCTTGTCCAGGGTCTTGGAGGCGGCAGCCCCGGGCCCAGTGACCGCCTGCTCCTCCTCGGCCTTGGCCGCCAGGAAGCGAGCCTTGCTGTGGTCCTCACAGCGCTGCGAGTAGCCCTGCTTGGCCTTGCGCAGGTTGGACTCCGCCTCTTGCTGCAGGCATGGGGGTGAGGACGCCGGTCCAGAGCCATCGTCCAGCTGGGCCCGGTCCCCCAGCTCCCCCCCCGCCGAGCCTCGGCCAGAGGCTGAGTCAGGCCCCTCAGCCGCCCACACGTGCCTACAGCCTACAGCCCACAGCGCGACGAGGCCCTGCCCCAGAGCTGACGGCCGGAGAACAGGAGGGACGCCCACAGTGGGACCCTGGGAGGGTCCTTACAGCCCCCGAGGCAGGGACGCGAGCTCGGCGACCCGCCGAGGGCCCCACCCGCCCCCACCAGAGTGGCAGCCACGCTTCCGTCTCTCACTTCCCCTTGTACGCAGGAGAACAGCGAGGCCGCCCCGGCAGGAAGCCAGGCACCCTCAGGGTTGGCAGGAAGAGCGCTAGGTCAGAAACCAAGTGGGTATTCTGGGGGCCACACCTCGCAGCCTACACCATCAGAGGCTGATACGTAAATGAGCTTGTACAAATACCAGGAGAAACCGTGCAGAATATTTAAACACAACCTCGAATGCGTGACACAGGACCCAGGAACCATGTGAGAAAAGACAACAGCTGACACTCACAGGCTTCTGCCCGGAAAAACAGGCCGCAGGTAAAATCAAAAGTCAAAACAATAAACCAGGTGCTGGGGGGGCGGGGGTCTGTAGCTCACATCAGCCAGGGCTGAGTTCTCTAATATGTCAAGAGCTCTGGCAAATCAATAAGAAATAGGCCCTCGTCCAATCCAAAGTGAGTCAAGGACAGGAAGTGAGGGTTCGGAGGACGAAAGCAGCTGCAGCTCGGGATCAGCTCACAGGCTCCCACCCTCCCCCAGCCCGCCAGCTCGGGGCGCACATCTGACAGATGGGCCCAAGCAGTCACACACACCAGCAGCCCAGCGATGACCAGAATGTCCACCAGTGGGGTCTAGTGCAACGAGCCAAGCGGCCGACAGACCGAGATGAGCACGCGGCTCGTGGAAGGGGGTGTCGAAGGCCGGGAGCGGAGGAGCGGACCCTTGCGGGGGCACAGGGGGAGCTGCGTTTGCCGGCTGCACTGGGCCTGGAAGCCACAGGCCCTGTTAGCAGAGCTAGACAGCAAAGATCTAGTAGCTTTGGGAAAGTCTCAAACGGAACTGCGGCAAAGAGAAACGCACGCTCCAGACCTGGGAGAGCCTGTCTCCCGCCAACCCCACCCGCTCTGGACCGCGGGCCATGCCCTGTCTCCCCACTCCTGCCTGCACAGCTGGGGGTGGCGGGCCTGGCATCCATCTGAGGCAGAGGCACCACAGCCAGCCCCGTGTGGTTCCTCCTGCCCACCCCCCCCAACCCCGGCGTACCAGCTTCCTCTGGGCGCGGTGCCATGACTCCTTAATCTCCTTCCTGCGCTTCTCATGCTCCAGCCGCCTCAGGTTCAGGGGCTGGAGGGGACAGGCTGTGAGCAGGCGGAGGCCCTGGCACAGCCACAGTCCACCCGCCGCCCACCCGCCTGCCCGCCGGCGTACCTGCATGAGGGTCTGGGTCTGCAGGGTGCTCACCCCCTGCACCATGCCATGGCCAAACTCCAGGTCCTGCTCCAGGGCCAGGGAGTAGATGGACAGGAGGGGCATGTGGGGCTGTGGGGGGGAGGGCGGCGGTCACGGGGGTGGGGGCCACACAGCCTCCCTGTCCCAGCCTCCCCGGCTCCCTCCGCGGCCGTCAGCATCCTCAGTGCAGGCGGGAGGGCCCGGCCCTTTGGCCCCGCCGGGCGGGGCTGACACGCACCCCCAGGCCCAGGGACCCCACCTCCTGCATGAAGCTCTGTCTGCAGTTGTGCACGATCTTCTGCACGCCTTTGGCAAAGTCCATCTCTGCGGGGGTCAGGGAGCGGTGTGAGTGCAGGGCCGTGGGGGCTGGCCCCCACCAGAGCCTGCCTGGCCGCTCTTACCCAGCGAAGTCCGCTTCTCCAGGTAGCCGATGAGGTCCTTCATGTACTTGGCCATGTTCTTGGCGTACTGCAGCGCGGCGTCCACGCCCCCCTCACAGCGCTGCAGCAGCATGTCCACCTCCTCGGGGGGCAGGCCGCCTGCAGGGCACCCGCTTAGCCCAGCCCGGCGCCCCCAGCCCTCCCTCCCACCCTCGGCCCCCCACACGAGCGCCTGCCCATGTGCCGCTCAGAGGATGCTCACCCGCATCACAGTCGTCCGCGCTGGGGGCGGCGCCCTCGCTGCCCGGTCCGTACAGGTTCTCCATGGTCTGCTCAGGAGAGACACAGGTGCGTCTGCCCCCATGCTGGGCTCAGTTCGATGCCCCCATGCAGGAGACAGCCACGGCCCCCCCCACCCTGGACAGAGGAGACAGGAGGGCCCCCCACCCTGACCCTGGACGGAAGAGACAGGAGGGCCCCCCCCACCCCGACCCCGACCCTGGACAGAGGAGACAGGAGTGCCCCCCTGCCAGCCTGGCCCCATGCAGCATCCGGGCCCCCTGCTCACCTGGCTGGGGTCCCCAGGGGGCACTGACAGGAGAGTGCTGCTGTCCACCTCCCCCATGAGGAACTCGGACACGCTGTAGGGCAGGGAAGGGTCAGCATCAAGAGACACGCGGGCCCCGCACCCCCAGCCCCACTCTGCAGGCCCCGCGGCACTCACGTGTTACTGAAGGAGAGAGCGATGGTCTCCAGGGCCTTCTCAAACTCCTGCTTGTCAGACTCTTTGTTGCACTCATAATGGAAGGCTGGTGGGCAGAGACAAGGACCAGGGGGCTTGGCCCACGCCGGGACGCCACCACCCCTGCCCGCAACTAACTGAAGGGAGCCCTTAACCCAGGAGCAGCTCGAGAGCAGTTGGGCCTGTCAAATTGCTAGGCACCCTTGAAAACATGCTTCAGACATCCCTTCCTCCAGGAAGCCCTCCCGGGGACCCCAGGGCCCTGACTGCCGTGCCCGGGGCCGGCTGACCTCTGATCTTGGCAATGAGGGTGCCAGCAGCAGTGAGTGACTCCACGGTGTTCAGCAGCGGGTACCTGGAGATGATCTGACGCATCATACGAAGGGCCTCACCCAGGTACTCGTGGGCCAGTGGCCGGCGGGCCTCGAGGAGGTCTGCCGGGCAGAGCGGTGTGAGCAGGGAGGAAGCCCCCGGCCCCAGGGAAAGACTGCTTGCCTCCCCCTCAGAGCTCCTGACCCCAGTGGGGAGACTGAGGCAGAGGTGGGACCCCAGGGGAGGCCCAGGCCTCTCTGGGCGGCTGGCCAGGTCCACAAAGGCCAGACCGTGGTTTAGGCAGTCCCTTCTGCTCAGGACACTCTTCATGTCCTTCCAGAGCAAACTCCTGCTTGTCTTTCAAATTACAGTCCTGGTGCCCTCCTCCTCCATGCAGCCCCACAGGCCCCTTTCCTGCCACAACCTCTCAGGGCTGCTCAAGGTTCTGTTGACCGCAGAGAGGGACCTGGGGCGGGGGGCAGGGGTGGCGGCCAGCTGGGAGGACAGCCTTGACACCTGCCTGCCCTCGGACCCCGTGTCTGATAGACGACGCTGTCCTTTCTCAGCATTGAGGACCCCCGCTGAAGGTCCCCACCGGTGAGAGCTCAGCCCCAGCACCTCAGGCTCCGGCACAATCCAGGGAAGGCTGGGCCACGCCCCTTCCCAGGACCTTCCTTCTGCGCCCACCTGCCCCACGCAGCCCAGGTGCTCCCAGCCGGGCCCTGCACCGTCCCCCACCTTGGGGCTCACTTTTCTCGCACCCGTCACAGTGCTGAGAACGCTAGCTACAGTCGGCTATCCCACAGGCCCCATGACGGCCCCATTTCACATATGAGACACCTGAGGCTCAGGGGAGGAGGCCCAGCAGAGGAAGCACCGGACTCAACCCACATCCTCTCTTCCAGGTGGCCCAAAGCGGGTACAAGGCTGCCTTGCCCTGTCCCAGCCTCCCACAGGACGCCCTCGGGCTCAGCCCCGCCCAGGCCTGGCCTCCAAGGAAGTGCAGGGATCGGAAAGGAACTGAGATTAGACAGTTTCCCCAGGAAGCCGCTCTGGCCCCCCGCCCGGACCAGATAACCCTGGGGGGCTCCCACCTCCCGCCCAGCAGGGGCCAGGCCTCTGGAGAGGCTGCTGGGAGGCTGAGGTCAAACCCCAGCTCAGGCCCCTCCTTGGCCGAGAGAGCCGGGGGTCAGGGCCCCACGAGGGGCCTCAGTTTCCTGATCTGTAGTGCAGGCGCCTGGGGGGGGGCAGGTCAGAGCGCCAGGCATGGTCCTGGCACTGCGGTTTCTGGGGAGTGGGCAGCGGCCGCAGGCTGCGCACGAGGTGCCAGGGACAAACAGGAAGCAGATGAAAATAACTCAGCAGGAAGCTGGGCTGTCAGCGCCACAAGGAGGAGAAAACGGAACTGCCATCCCAAACAGGCCACTCACGCCGGCGGCTCACATGCTGGTCCTGCCCCTTGTCCCTCCTGGATCCCTCTCCAGCCAGGCCCCGTGGCTCCAGTGTGCCCTGCCTCTGCTCTAGCATTCTCTATGGCTACCCGTGGCCCTCAGGAGAACAGTTGGGCTCCCTCAGCCCGCTGTTCTCAATGCCTTCCTACACCAGTGATGCCCCAAAACTTGTTCCCCCAAATGCATCTCCATTTTATGTTTCTGAGCCTGTATACGTGATGTTCCCTCCGCCTCAGTGCCTTTCTCTGCTCCTGGCCTCCGAACTCCTACTCATCCCTCAGGACCCTGGCTGCCATTCATCGCCTCCTGAGCCTGCCGGCTTCCCTCCCTCCACCCTGCCTTGAGCCCGCAGGCTCTGAGATCTCTGCGTCCGGCCCTGCCTGCCACCCAGGCCTCAGTGGTCCTGCCGCTTCTCACCGTCGCTCAGGACACACTCCTTGAGCTTCTCAAGCGCCTTGGCGAAGCGGCCCACGTCAGTCAGCAGCTGGGAGATGTCCTCCACAGTGTCGGGGCAGGGCCCCTCGTTGGGGAGCTCGGCAGGGCTGGCTGTGGTCAGCGGGCTGCGATGGCCCCGGCCCAGCGTCCAGGAACTGGCGCCGGACAGCGGGAAGCCAGCAGCGCTGGCATGGCGGCTCAGGCTGGTGGGCCGTTTGAGGGTGCCCGTGGCCTTGGCATTTGAGGCTGCACTTGGTGGCTCCAGGCTGGGTCCAAGGGACACAGCATCAGCCCCATCTTTCCTGGGCAGCTCCTGGGAGGGTGGGGGGCAAGCTGATGATGGTGTTCCAGCCCAGGCACGGCCTCAGTTTCCCCAGAAACGAAGTGGGGGCTCTCTGGAAGGTCCTTGGCCTGACCCCACAGGGATCAAAGGCCAGAGGTCAGAGGGCCGAGATTTGGTGCCCTGCCCCGCCCACACCTGTCACCCAACATCCTCTTCCCCAGAGCTTTCACAAACAACGGTCTCTGCCCAAACCACAGCCAGGGGTGGGGCCTGTGAGGGCGCGGGGGAGGGGCACCCCACTTCCTGGTGGAGTAGGGAGGGCTGGAGGGGGTCCTCAGCCCTTGTAGCCCCCTCCAGGCTGCTGCAGACACCTCTACCCCCTGGTGAAGACACTTCTGTCGATTCCCGTACCCCTAAGAGTCCTGTAGACCCCCAAGTTCCACAGACACCCCCAGGCCTTATAGATGGCCCCAAACCTTGTAGCCCTCCAGACCCCAGAGATGCCCCCCAGGCCCTACACCCAAGGGTCTTGTTTCGTGCCCTGCTGCCCTATAAACCTTGGGCTCCCTAGCCGAGCTATAGCTCTCCCCTCCCATGGCACCGCTGCCCCCAGACTCCCTGACCACCACCCTGTGGTCCCAGACCCAATGCCGCCCCCACCCTGGCACCCTCCCACCCCCTCCCTCGGCCCCACAAGCCGGCCCTGGTCGACGAGGAGGGATGCGGTGGTCAGCCCAAAGGGCTCCTACCATGAGCTGAACGCCAGGGTCCCAGCCTGTCCTGCGTGGCCCATGCCGTCCAGCCCGGTAGGGGCTGTAGCTCATGTGAGCCCCCCGCCGCCGGCCCAGCATGGAGCCGCTGGGTCCTGGGCCCCCAGCACACTGCACACCCTTGGGCCCCTGCCGCCTGGGTGTTTCTCCAAGTTCCCCGCCCGCTCTCACTCCCCACAGAGGCTCACTCACCCCCAAGGGCTGTGGGCTGGGGCTTCCCGCCCGGTTCTTCTTCGAGATAGAAGGGGTTTTCATGAGCTCCCGCTTCTTCCTGGAGAACATGGTGGGGCCTGGGGCCAGTGACCCGAGATAGGCGGGCTGGGGTCTGTCAGGCTGGGGGTCTCAAGCCTGCAGCGCTCAATAGTGGCTGCCTCAGGCCCACATTGTCGCTGGCCACCCCCTCCCCAGCTGTCAGGGCCACGTGACGGGCCCGGCCCTCATTGGCGGGCCCTCCCCCCCCACAGGAAAAGGCCTCCGGAGAGAGGCAGTGCCGGTGACTGGTGACACAGACCTGTCCCCCACCCTCCCGGGCCTCAGCCTGCCCCTCCACACAGCGGGCTTGAAGGTGGGGTCCCAGGTCCCACCCCCAGCTCGGCTCTCAGGAGCTCTGCACGTGCGCTGGCCCTGCCTCCCCGGCACATGGCGGGGGCACACGGCGGCAGACGGCAGGGGTGCAGACCCTCAGTCGGATGCACCCGGATGCCGCCGAGGGCAGGATGACATGCAGGGACCCGGACAGGTGTGCAGACGTCAGGAAGCTCACCCATGAAACGGACAAGCCAGAGCTGCTTTCTCAGACCCTGGGCATGGACACCTGCTATCCAGCCTCCCACCCCGTCCCCCTTCCTCTGGCAAGCTGGTGGCACAGGGCACGGCAGGCCACCGCCCCCCAGCCCTGTGCCCACGGTCCAGGGACATGCCCACGGACCACCCGGCACGCCAGGCGGCAGGACTGTGGGAGGCACAGTGGGAGTCATGCCTTCGGCCACCACTCACCAGCAAGAGCTGGGGCCTCCATGGTGCATAGGGACCCCTGCCTCCTCCCCTCCTCCCACAACCACCTCTCTTCGTCAGAGCCCCCTCTCCCAGATTCTTCTCCTTACTACTGGAGTCCCACCCTCCACCCCCAAACCCTGACCCCTCTACCCTCCCTAACACTGCCCCCCACTGACCTCTGCTGGGAGGGGTGGATCTCCAGGGCACAGGGCCCGCAGACCACAGCCCTGGGTGCCAAAGCCAGCTCTCCAGGCCCAGGTCCATCCACAGACCCAGCTGAGAAGTCCCTTGAGGATCCTTTGCCCACCACTCATTGCTCTGGGGCCAGGCTTCAGGGGGTGAGGGCTGGCTGGCAGCCTTCTGGCCTGGTCAGGAGGCCTGGGGTCTGTGCCACCCGCCCTGGGCTCCTTCAAGCCGCCCAGAACATTCCCAAGCCTTGACCTCATGCCCACTTCATGACCAGGCACTCATAGGTACCGCCCTGAGCCGCCAGACCCACGTGGGTGTCCAGGCTCTTAGGAAGTCCCCAAGCGCATGTGAGACGCCCCAGTGCCCAGCGCAGCACAGAGGCCCTCACGTGAGCTGGGGGCCTGGCCAGATTCTTACGTGCACACACTCAGGGAGGCGGGGGAGGAGAGCCGTGTTTGGGCATGCACGCACGGACACAGTTTCACGCCACGAGTTCTCTTTATTATTTCCTCCAGCGCAGTGGATCCTCGGAGAGCCTGGGTCCCCCCGCCCTCCCAGCATTTCCCACCGACCCCTCCGATGAGGGCAGCTCAGAGGACCGTCTCGGCCATGCTGGGGTCCTCCAGGAACCCGGTGATGAGTTTGGGGTGCTGTGGGCATGGCGCAGGGCCTGCCCCGACTCCGGCCTCCTGCTCTTCGTCCATCTCCTTCCCCTGGTCCTTGGAGAAGTACAAGAATACCTAGGGGTGGGCGGCCGGAGGGGAGGTCAGCCCCAGCGCCTGGCCCTCAGCCCCACCTCATCCTCAGCTCCACCCAGGAGCCGCGGTCACCTCCTCTAACGTGGTCTGGCTCACGGAGAAGTCCTCCACGCCGTGCTCCGCCCCGTGGGCCGCCAGCTCTCCGAAGACGCGGGACAGGGCGCAGCGCCCTCCCAGCGGCAACTGGAAGCGCAGGCGGCTGCCGTGCGCCTCGCGCAGCTTGGCCCCTGGGAACGCCGCCCCCACGAAGGCAAGCGCCAACTCGGACCGCGCGGCGGGCACCCGCAGGGTCAGCGTGTGGCCGGCTCCAAATCTGGGATGGGCGGGTCCGGGACTGCTGGACACGCTCGAGGCCCGCCCTGCCCTGCCACCCGTCCACACCACCCTCCGGCTCGTTTCGGGCCCTGCCTCCAACACCTGGCCCCTTCTGGCCCGCGGACTTGCGCGGCCTCGACCATTTATAGGCTCACCCCTTTCCCTAACTCCGCCCCTCCGGGCCCCGCCCACACGAGGCCCCGCTCCCAGGTCCACCTCCGGCCCCAGAGAGCCACCGTCACCCATCAGCCCCGTACCCCTGCTGGTTGCCCCACTCCCTACTTCATGTCTCCTCCACAGTCCATAGTCCTCGCCTCCCCTCAGGTTAGAGCCAAGTTGGCTTCGCGTGGCCCTGTGTCTGGTGGCTCTTCTGGCCCCGCCTACAGCCCCGCCCCCACCTGCCTGCTCGCGCCCCACTCACCTGCTCTTGAGGTGCTGCGGGCTGCCCAGACAGCGGAACCGCCCGTTCACCATGATGGCCAGGCGCGTGCAGAGAGCCTCACACTCCTCCATGCTGTCAGGAGCCCAGCACCATCAACTCCTGCACTCCCCAGGCCGGGGACCCTCACCCTCCAAGCCCGGACACTCCCACGGAGCCCAGACCATTCTGGATCTGGGGTGTCCAAGGGTCGGGTGTCACCGTCGTTGGCGTGTCCGCCCCCCCAAGGTCAGGGCCACTCCATCTGCTGTGTCCCTGTGCTCTGACAGCCTCTCGCTGGGGCCGGGTCCGCCTCCCTCCCCAGAGCCTGCACCACCTTGACCCTCAGCCTTGAGCATCCGCAGCGGGACCCACCTGTGTGACGTAAGCACCACGGAGCGGCCCTCCCGCACGACGGCCAGGAGGCTGTTCCAGAGAAAGCGCCGGGAGCTGGGGTCCATGCCAGTGGTCGGCTCGTCCTTGCGGGGTGCAAGGGTAGATGCCATAAGCCAAGCCCCAGCCCTCCCCCCAGACCCCGCCCCGGCCCCGCCCCCACGCACCAAAAAGACCACAGCCGGGTCCCCCACCAGCGCCACCGCTGTCGCCAGCTTCCTCTTGTTGCCTCCACTGTAGGTACCCGCAGGTCGGTCTGCGTACTGCGGGAGCCCCAGGCGCGCCAGGCCCAAGCTCGCTGTCTGTGGGGCGGACGGAGTGAGAGAGGAGAGGGGCCAGATGGGGGTGGTCTCGGGGAAGGGGCAGTGAACGGGAGGGGGGCAGAGTGAGCGTTGGGGGGGCTAGACCGGGGGACCAGTGAACGAGAGGGGGCAGTGAGCGTGGGGGGCAGTGAGGGTGGGGGCAGACTGAGGGAGGCAGTGAGCGTGGGGGGCAGTGAGGGTGGGGGCAGACTGAGGGAGGCAGTGAGCGTGGGGGGCAGTGAGGGTGGGGAGCAGACTGAGGGGGGCAGGATGAGCGTGGGGGGCACTGGGGCCACGATGGGGGAAGGTAAATAAAGAGGGCAGAGCCAGGATGAATGAGGGACCGGCCCGACCCCGGGCAGAGTAGCTGGAAGCCCTCAGCGGGAGGTGGGGTCAAGGCCAGAGTGGGCGGGGTCGCGACCGCGGTAGTGCAGGTGGGGTAGGAAAGGGGTGGGCACAGCCTGCGCTGGATCCACGGAGTGTAGGAGCTGGGGAACGGCAGGCGCGGTACAGGTGACGAGCGGGGGACCTGGACTCAGGGCCTGGCCAAGCAGAGCCAGGGCGGGGCTGCGATCCTGGGGTTGGGGGGTCACCTGGGCAACCTGAGCCTCGGGAACACCGCGCAGTCGGGCGAACAGCTCCAGGTGCTCGCGGCCGGTCAGCAGCTCGAAGACAGCATCCGACTGTGGGCAGTAGCCCATGTGGCGGTGCGCAGCGGACGGTTCCTGGGCCACGCTGGGGGTGGGGGACAGGGGGCTCAGGGGATTGGCTAGGCCCTGGCCATGCTGGGGGGAGGCAAAGAGGGACTTCAGGGCCCACCCACCCTGGACCACTATGGTAAGAGACAGGGGCTAGGGGGTGTTTCAGGGCCTGGTGGACATGCGGTTTGTGGGGGCACAGGGGCTCAGGGCCAGCCGGACCGGACCATGCTGGTGAAGCACAGTCCCTGCACAGGAGAGCAAGGGGTGGGGACGAACAAGGGCTTGGGACCACCCCACCCCCGCCCGAGCCCCCTCACCTGTGGCCTGCCAGCACAGCCTCACCACCGCTGGGCAGCATGTCCCCCGTCAGCATGCGAAATGTTGACGTTTTCCCTGCTCCGTTCACTCCCAGCAGCCCGAAACACTGCGGGTGCCCCACAGACGGCACTCAGCAAGGTCTCAGATCCCTGTCCCGGGGCCGCTAATTCCTGGGGTGGGTTTCCCAGTGTCTGCAGGAGGGCTGTGAGCAAGGAGGACCCCTGGGACCGATACAGGGGGTGTGTAGATAGGCATAAATCTGCCACTTAGCGGGGAATGGTTGTTGGCATGTGGGATGTATTTAATCAATTCCAGCACCCAGTAGGTATCTCGTAAAGATCATATGCAACAAGTGCTCCATAAATAGTGAGGCATGAGATTTCTCAGTTTCACGACACTCAGTGGGTGCCTAACAGAGGCATCCACGGAGTGCTGAGGCTGGGTGCAGTCAGCCCAAGGTGCAGAGGTTGGCTAGCGCACAGGAGGTGCTTGAGAACCAGTGTTTGCAGGTGTGCTGGCCCCGGCAGGTGGCCGAGATGTGACACTCAGCACATCCGTCTGCACATAGTAGTTCCTTGAACGCGAACTGGTACAGGGCACATGCCTCATAAATATCGGCTGTGAGCAAGTGCTTGATACAGGTACATATACAACAGGGGCTCAATAAGTGCTGTTGATGCTTGACAAAAAGTCGATCATCGCTAAGGTGACATTCAGTACTCCTCTGGTAAACGCATATACACACAGGGGGGCTCGACAACTGGTTCTCAAATGTTGACACATAGTAGGTGGCTGATTAAGGTCATTGGCACATGCGTGGGTGCCCTCTGGGTGTTCGATAATGATTTGCTTGGTCTTGGTAGGGGCTTACTAATATCTTTCTGCAGACAATAGGGCTCCATAAATAGAAGCATGCAGTAGGTGCTTCCTGAGAGTTTGCTGGCACAAAACAGGAACTCAAATGTTGGCGGCCAGGAGTTGCTCAATAAAAGGCAGCGGGCACAAGGTAGCTGTTCAATAAAGGGCATCATGCGCATAGTAGGTGTTCAGTAAAGGACAGTGGGCACACAGTGGGGCGGCCTCTCACTGCCCCTGCATGGGGAACTCTGCCTTGGGCTCTCACCTCACCGGGGGGGATCCCCAGGCACAGGCGGTCGACAGCTGGTGTCTTCTGCCCATAGTACACCTGGGGGGAGTTCAGGTCCCTGAGAAAGGTGGGTGGGCCAGGGGGAGCCCCCCAACCCAGGACTCTGCACCCACCTTGGTCAGGTCTCTCAGCACCAACACGTCCCCCTGGGTGGCCCCTTGGACCACCCGTTCCCGCTCCCGGGCCACATCCTCATCCTCCTCCCCCAAGGGGTGCAGCGACCTCAGCTGGGGTCTGAGGACAGAGAGGTCAGTGAGCCCAAAGCCAGAGCCAGCCCCTCCCCCTACTTACCCAGTCCCCACTGACTGCGGCAGGAGGCGGTTGCAGTGCTGCAGCAGCAGCGTGAAGAGGAAGAAGAGCGGCCCCTGTACCACCATGGCCAAGAGGTTCTTGCCAACCACCTCCCAGCGCAGGGGTGACTGGAACTGCCCATCTCCTGTGGTGACAGGAAGGAGGAATTAGGTCCTGGGGGGTGTGGACCCCTCCCCATCCAGGTCACCTTGGGTTCTTAAGGAAAAGGACCAAGAACTGGATGGGCCACTCAACTGAGCTCTAATTGGTATAGAAAACAGTGATATCCCCATCTCCCTTATTTAGGGCCTTAGACCTTTTGTGATATGACCCAAGACAGAGTTAGCTTTTATGGCTGCTTTGCTGTACTTCTAACTTGACCCAAACTTGGGGCCACCTTAGATGTCTAGTTCTCTTCCTGGGGGCTGCTGTTTGTCCCTACTCTGTGTAACTGACTTGGCTGGCACTTCCCCACCTAGTTC